TACGCGGGCCTCTCGCTGTTGTGGCCTCTCCCGTTGCGGAGCACAGGCTCCGGACGCACAGGCTCAGCGGCCATGGCTCACGGGCCCAGCCGCTCCGCGGCATGTGGGACCTTCCCAGACCAGGGCATGAACCCATGTCTCCTGCAACGGCAGGCAGACTCTCAACCACTGCGCCACCAGGGAAGCCCACTTTTATTCTTTTGATTTAAGGAGAGAACAAAGCATGTGAGGGTTTTCCTCTTGGATTTGATGAGGGTATAAAAATTGTGTTGAGCTATAGATGCATCCCCCTTCTGTTTTAAATTTTCTTAAACGCGTACATGTGCCTATGATAATTTACTCATTCATATTTTCTGTGACTCTGTCATTGCTTTAACTTTGTGATGATTTATGAAACCTTAGGTTACACAGAAGATATTAAGGACTAAGATACTGAAGCTATTTAATAAGCCCCATAGTTTTTTAAAGCTCTGTAGTACTTACCAGGCTATCTGCATATGCATGCATATTGTAAACATGTCACCAAGAAGCAGCTGATGGGTAGCTGGAGGTGTTGATGGTGCATATCCTCTAGGCAAGGAGGAGTCAGAAAGGTTCAAGACATAGTCCCTGTCCCTTACTTTGGATTAACACTTAAATGCTTTTTTAAAAGTTTCTTTGTACTTGATTAAGTGGTGTCTCCGTAAGTGGGTACAACGTGGGTCTTGACTTCCAGCCGCGTGCTTTGTTTAAGCAAAGGGCGGTATTATGCCCGGTACCCACGGTCGTATCCAGCACGCCCCCCTCACTGTTTTAGGTTGTGACCTTTCATTCCCCGGCAATAAACTGGTCTCTGGAGATCACTGTAAAATTATAGTGGATGAAAAATCTGGTCAGGTGTCGCTGGAAGATACCAGGTAAGCTCTTTCTGAACTTCTTTCCTCTTGTAGCTTCAGGAAGCCGACTTGAAGCCAGTGAGTGCAGAGAAGAGACAAGGGCCTGCTTTCTATAGCTCAGTAGTCCGATAGGGTCTCCGGGTATTGGAAGATGTATTTTCTGGTTTCCAGGATGGGCTACTTAGTGACACTTTGGTGTCTGTGACCATTCTTAAATGTATTCAGGTTAAAGCAAAAACAGCTCAGAAATAAGACTTAAAAGGCAGTGATACATTTTGGGTTCTTGCAAACCTATTCAAGTTAGACTTCCCCAAATCAAGAAGTCTTTCTTTTTTTTTTTTTATTATTATACCACATAAGTAGTACATGAAAGTGAAAAGCTTTCCAAAATTCCACTCACCCACACAATACATACATATTTATTTTGTATTAATGAGATTATACTGTTATACTGTGTATCTATTTTACTTGGAATGTTTGCAGAGTGCTCATCATGTCCGTATGTCTAGGTCCATCTCATCTTTTTCATTATTATATAATAACTTGTCAGCTCCCTTACTGATGGAAAGTTATTATTTTGACTTTTTCTTATTATAAATGACACTGCAGTGACTCTCCTCCAAAACGCTTTCCATTCATGTCTGATGATTTTCCTGGGGTAAGTTTATGGGAAGGAATGCTGGGTGGAAGGTGTGAGTGGCGGACAGCCATCCAACAGCGTGTTGAGAACACGCCTTTCCCACAAGGTGATTTTTTTTATTGTTGTGAAGGTCAAGTGCTGTGAGATTCTTTGGTAAGTAGCAGTTTGAGGGATAGAAGACCAGGAATTTGGTTTTATTAGGAAGAACGGATGCTGCTTTTCCTCCTCCGATAGGTAGCAGGTCAAGTCCTGTATTTCTCAGCACAATGTACAGTAACAGTGCTGGTTCCAGAGTCTTCTTTCTGCCTCAGGCCCTGGCTCTCCCACCCTGACCACAGGATAGTATGTGCTTCCCAAGGCTGCTGTAACGATTACCACAGGCTCAGTGGCTAAAACAGCACAAATCTGTGATCTTATAGGCCTGGGTGGTCAAAGTCCATCTCAGGTCTCATTGGCGTCAGCTCCTTCTGGGGGCTCTAGGGGAGAAGCCATCCTCTGTCCTTTCCAGCTTCTAGAGGCTGCTGCCTTCCTTGGCCGAGGTGGCTGGAGGGGCGGGGGTGTTCCAGGTGGGAGGAGCCGCAGGTGCAGAGGCCCCGAGGTGCAATCAGGAAGACCCCGACGTCCATGCTGGAGAGACTGGACGTTAGCCTCAGAGCAGTGAAGAGTCACCGAGGGGTTTAAGCGGAAAAGTGAAATCAGACTTCTGGGTTAGAAAGAGCTTGAGGATAGGTCGTGGGGAGAGCCTGGCAGCAGAGGCCGCGGCAGTGCTGCAGCAGCTCTGCTGGTCTCTGTAAGTGGGGCTTTACTGGGAAGGCAGCCCAGCCCTCCAGGGACCTGCCACCTGTTGGTTGCAGGAGTTGGGACGGAGACAGCGTGACCGCGCAGCCTGAACTATTTCCTGCCTGGCCCTTTACAGAAATCTCAAGTAGTGGCAATCTGCTCAGAGGGAAAGGTGACGACGCCTCTTCAGCACTGGGGGCCTTAGGAGTGGGGCCGTGGAGTTGGGGCCCGTGTGGACTGAGCGCCTGAAATTGGAAAGGGGCGGGGAGGGCTTGCTCAGTTGCCGAGTTTGACTTTTGTCTGGTGCGCTCTTCCCCTTGCCTGCGGGAACCCCTCCTCAGGGAGGTGCCTCCTGTCCCGCCTGACTGAGGTCCTGGTGTCTCCTGGCCGTGCCTTCCCATCAGGCACTGTGGTCCCTGATTAACTGGAGTGACTTCCCAGCAGCAGGGACCGTGCCGTCTTCTGCTCGGTAGCCCTGCGTCGATTTGCTTTTGCCTAGAGCCCATGTCGTAGGAGGGTCAGTGCTCATGTGAGGAGTGAACTGAGCTGGGCCGCGGCTGCCGGAGCAGGGTTAGGCCTGTCGACAAAGCGTGGTGCAGAAGAGAGAGAGAAGAAGAGAGAGAGAAGAGAGAAGCTGGGAATCAGAGCACGTGCTGCTGGTGGGCGTCCAGGGCTCCACCAGGAGGAGAACGTGGGGCTGGCACAGCGGAGGCGTTAAAACACTTGACACACCATTGGGCTGTGAGTGAGGGGGCAACAGGCAAGGTTCTTCTCAAGAGAATTGTAAGGTGGCACGAGTATTTACATCATTCCTATGAGTGTTCTGTCATTTGCAAAGTGGTGGTATTGAACTGCTTTCCTACTGGCTGTAGAAAAGGAAAATTTTAACTCCAAGTTGTTTTAAGTAGGATAAATTGGATTTTTGTTGTCCCTACAGCACCAACGGAACAGTAATTAACAAGCTGAAGGTTGTTAAGAAGCAGACTTGCCCTTTACAGACTGGGGACGTCATCTACTTGGTGTACAGGAAGAATGAGCCAGAACACAGTAAGGGAGGGGGGGTTCCTGGGCTGGACTCACGGGTGGTGCAGCAGGGGACCCTGCCACAGCGGGGAAGCATTGTGGGAAGAGGCTGTTGAAGCAGGTATTTCCTGAAGGAATGTTAGTACTAGCTGCGTCCCCTTTTTCGTTCATGTACATTCTTGGTGTGGGTAGTGTCTGTTGAAGAATGGGAGTGTTGACCTCGTGGGCTGAGCCCCAGCCATTCTTCACAAATGCCACTGTGGCCATGAGCCACAGGCTCGATATGGTAGCCAGGGAGACGGGGTGCGGGGGGGCGGCGAGGAGGGCACCTGAGTGAGGAGAATAAGGCCTAGAATGGGGGCTGGAGGCCACGGACAGCTCTGCTTTGGGAGGCTTTACGGGAGACAGCAAAGGTTAGACGGGATATTCCGTGAGGGCTTTTCCAGCTCTGAGCATCTGCACCTGTGTTGGCGGGAGAAGAATGATGCAGGACAGGGAGAGTTAGGGGAGTCCTTCGAAGGTTACCCCGGAAATAGGAAGAAGAGGGCGGGTATCCCCTAGACTGCCCTCAGCAGTCAAAGCCAGCCCCCGGCCACAGGGAAGGGCCTTGTGTCCGGTCCTGGTGGTTTGAAATGACAAGACACAGGCTCACTCCTCCTCACCGCTTTGCTTGCCTTAGTCTGCCTCCTGACGCCGGATGGTTTTCTGAGGCTTATTTATTTTAAGTTTGGTTCAGATGTTTTGGATCACTTGCTTTAAAATCCCTTAAACCGGCGGATGTGGTTACTAGCTGATAAGTCGAACTAGTCAACAAGGGCAAAGTGACCGTGAGGTGATGGGAGGGAGCAGAAGAGAAAGATGAGCTCTCCTGACGTGTGGCGAACGCCACTCCGGTTCGGTTAATTTCCTTCAGACGTGGCATACCTCTACGAATCCTTCCATGAAAAGCAAGGCGTAACGCAAGACTCCTTCGGTAAGTAAGATTTTCGCAAAGGAGCGGGTGCGTGCGTTGACTCTTCATCCGCTGGAATGTATTCCTGACGCAGCGGCTCCCCCTGCGCCCCGACTGTGTTATGCTTCTGCTTCTTTGTGCTTACAGAAGCTAATAAAGAAAACGTGTTCCACGTGACCAAAGATACCTCAGGTGCAGGGCGAGGCGACGACCCCCAGGATCCCCAGGTCCTGCCATCGCCACCCGCCACTCAGGTGTGCTTTGAGGAACCACAGCCATCAACGTCCACATCGGACCTCTTCCCCACGGCCTCTACCTCTTCCATGGAGCCCACCTCTGCAGCGCGAGGGCCTCCCTCCAGCTCTGGTGAGATGGGGATCTCAGGGTGGTAGCTGCGTTGCCCTTTGTTCGCTAATCCTGCCCTGCATTGTTACGGAGACAGACAAGCCACTGAGGAGTTCAGAGGTGGTGTCAGGCATCAGGCTGTCAGTAGTAAGATTTCTCTAGGAGTAAATGTCTTGTTCCATCCCCAAGAGACAGGCTGAAGGCCAGGGACTACAATACTGTGGTATTCTTCACAGGTTATAATTCATATACTGTAAAAATCACACAAAGTGAACTCTTCCGTTTGTTTGTTTGTTTGTTTTTTAATGACATCTTGGATTACCTGCGCCTGGTTTGAATCAGTGACGCTTTGAACTGCTGTCTCTTCTTCTGAGGCAGGTGAATCAGGATGTCTCTTGTTTGTCCCTCTCACAGGCTCGAGAGGTGCAGACGTCTCCCCAAAAGGGTGTGGTCCATCTGTGGCAAGTGATGAAGTCGCCATCTTCCCTTTGGCTCTCCCAGCAAGAGAGGGGGCGTCCTTTTCTCTGTCGGAACCCAAGGACCAGGAGGACTTGGAGCCCGTTAAGAAGAGAGTAAAAGCAGGTCAGAGTCCAGTGGTTGCGTGTAGCCTTGGCGCCCCGGCAGCACCGTCCCATCTGAGCCTGTTGGGGCCCCACCATCTGCAGAAGTCGGAGGACCCTGTCTTCAGCTGACACCTGTGGTACCTCAGCATCTTCCAGATGGCAATCTGGGCCTTTTCTTTCCTGTCTGCACCGTCGGGATTGAACTGTGTTTACTGTCAGGATATGCTCTTGGTCTGGAGACCACAGTCTGGGGTTGCAGCTCTGTCCTGATACAGCAGCCAGTTTTTAAGAGTATATTATCTTTAAGTGATAGCTTGAACCTTCACGTTAAAGGTGATTTTGAGAAAAATCTATACTTTAAAAGTCAAAGTTAAAAAGATTGTAAAAACTTTTGGGAATGTTGTTGGGAGGACAGTAGCTGTGAGGCAGGCCTGAGAGCTTCCCCTGGATTGGGGCAGTGTGACAGGAGGGAGGGCCTCGGAAAGAAACTGCATTATCTGATGTATTGAGTGGAAAATTGAGTTGATTGGCCTGGGGAGGTGTGGGATGAGTCAGCAACAGGTACATAAAAATAAGTATGAAAATGGAGCCACTTTTAACTCTATGAGAAATGAAAAATTGTATAAGGAAGAAAATTATACTGTGTGAGCAGTGAATATTTAAGCATAATAATATAAATACAATATACTGAACCAATAATTGTGTTAGAATAATATTGGGAAGGAGACCCAGAGGGGCAGAGTCCTTCTCTGCTTTAATGGATGCGAGGAGATGATGTCTAAAATCCATCAGCCTAAACGTAGCATGACAATTCAGAAACACAGAGGTCCGGACCAGAAGAAACAGAAGACACGAAAGTTGTTTCCCCAAAGGAGGGAGGGTGAAGCTGAGGACAGGCTGGGGCAGAGGGCTGCTGCTTTGGTTTTCTTTTAAATATTTGACTTTTTAAATTGTAAGTATTTTTTTTATTAAAAATAAATTTAATCTCTGATTATAAAAAAAGTAAAACACACTGGCAGAAAAAAAAAAAATTTAAGCTCCTGGTAACATTTGAGGGTCTGTATTTTCCAGCACTTTCCTGTGTGCATATGGGACACATTTTTTGTTTGTTTAAACAAAAATGACTTTACACACAAATGCTATTTGACACCTGGCCTTTATCTCTCACCCGTGTATCCTGAGTGTCTTTTTTATGCTGTTAACTATTATAAAACAAAACTTAAACATACTGGATTATGAGACTTACTTTGAACCTTTGTAAAAATGCCCTTTAAAATACAGTGAGGGAATGGCCATCATCAAAAAATGTACAAACAATAAATGCTCGAGAGGGTGTGGAGAAAAGGGAACCCTCTTGCACTGTTGGTGGGAATGTAAATTGATACAACCACTATGGAGAACAGTATGGAGGTTCCTTAAAAAACTAAAAATAGAACTACCATACGACCTAGCAATCCCTCTACTGGGCATATACCCTGAGAAAACCGTAATTCAAAAAGAGTCATGTACCACAGTGTTCACTGCGGCTCTATTCACAATAGCCAGGGCATGGAAGCAACCTAAGTGTCCACTGACAGATGAATAAAGAAGATGTGGCACATATATACAATGGAATATTTCTCAGCCATAAAAAGAAACGAAATTGAGTTATTTGTAGTGAGGTGGATGGACCTAGAGTCTGTCATACAGAGTGAAGTAAGTCAGAAAGGGAAAAATGAATACCATATGCTAACACATATATATGGAATCTTAAAAAAAAAAAAAGTTCTGAAGAACCTAGGGGCAGGACAGGAATAAAGATGCAGACTTAGAGAATGGACTTGAGGACACGGGGAGGGGGAAGGGTAAGCTGGAACGAAGTGAGAGAGTGGCATGGACGTATATACACTACCAAACGTAAAATAGCTAGTGGGAAGCAGCCGCATAGCACAGGGAGCTCAGCTCGGTGCTTTGTGACCACCTAGAGGGGTGGAATAGGGAGGGTGGGAGGGAGAAGCAGGAGGGAGGAGATACGGGGTTATATGTATACATGTAGCTGATTCACTTTGTTATAAAGCAGAAACTAACACACCATTGTAAAGCAATTATACTCCAATAAAGACGTTAAAAAAACAAATACAGTGAGGGGACTTCCCTGGTGGTGCAGTGGTTACAACTCCGAGCTTCCATTGCAGGGGGCGCGGGTTCGATCCCTGGTCGGGGGACTAAGATCTCACATGCCCCGCAGCGTGGCCAGTAAATAAATAAGTAAAATTTAAAGATTAAAAAAAAAATACAGGGAGGACTGGGTCTCCTGTCCACAGGTTAAGACATCTGTAAAACCAAGAGATGGAGTGCACTTCCTCCATGGTCATGATGTTGAGAACGTGTCCCTTTCCCTTGCAGACGGGGAGCCTGCCCTGAACCTGCCCCTGGTCACAGACCCAGGCGGAGACCCCTACAGTACCCTCGACGTCAGAGCTGCGACCGTGAAGCCAGACAAGATGGAGGAGACTCTCACGTGCATCATCTGCCCAGGACCTGCTGCACGACTGTGTGAGGTGCGCGCACAGGGCCTGCGGAGCCGCAGACGGGGCTGGCCTCTGCGTCAGGCCCAGGACCTGCTGCACGACTGTGTGAGGTGCGCGCGCAGGGCCTGCGGGGCCGCAGACGGGGCTGGCCAGGACCTGCTGCACGACTGTGTGAGGTGCGCGCACAGGGCCTGCGGAGCCGCAGACGGGGCTGGCCTCTGCGTCAGGCCCAGGACCTGCTGCACGACTGTGTGAGGTGCGCGCGCAGGGCCTGCGGGGCCGCAGACGGGGCTGGCCTCTGCGTCAGGCCCAGGACCTGCTGCACGACTGTGTGAGGTGCGCGCGCAGGGCCTGCGGGGCCGCAGACGGGGCTGGCCTCTGCGTCAGGCCCGCTGACGTTACTGTAGCCGTTCTCCTTGTGCGGCTGACGAGCTGAAAGCCGGGCCCGGTGACTGACACTGCACAGGAGCCCGCGAGACGCGTGCAGTGGCTCTGACCTCAGTGGCGCCAGGTCCACCTCAGCTAGAGCAGGGGAGCTGTACCGAGTGGCCAGCATCTCGTGGTTAAGGCAACACGGTAGTTAAGGTGGAGCGAAGGTGCCAGAACAAAGATCTCTCCTTGCTTCTCTGTGGGAACTTAAGAATTTGTCTGCAGTTCGGCTTAAATGCGGGTCTTTGCCACCCACACCCAGCGTCTCCGCTCTTCCCGTTCCTGGTGGTCCTGGCCCCCAGTGGTCCCTGGCCCTCCTGGAGCACAGATTGCCGCGTGGCCCCGCTCTCTTGTAGCTGGCAAGCGCACAGATGAAGCAGTTGCAGCCGAACGCCGTGTTTTTGCGCAGGGACTGCTTCGCAGGCGGCGTGCCCCTGCGTGAGCCGAGGTGCATCCCCGCCAGCCGCAGGCCCCACCACGGCGTGGGTGGAGCGCCCCAGAGCACAGGCCTGAGGCCCTGCGGAGTCGAAAGATCGGGTGGTGGGAGGCGGGGGGCAGTTGGCCCATTCTTCTGTTTTTACCCGAACCTCAGTCTGAACAGGGCCACGTCCTCCTTCGGGGAAAGAGGCAGCATGACCCTGGGTCCCTGCTTCTCACACCCAGTGCCCATCCTGTGCCCTCAGCCTGCAGCCCTGTATGCACACCTTCTGCGCTGCCTGCTACTCGGGCTGGATGGAGCGCTCTGCCCTGTGCCCCACCTGCCGCTGTCCAGTGGAGCGGATCTGTAAAAACCACATCCTCAACAACCTGGTGGAGGCGTATCTGCTGCAGCACCCAGACAAGAGGCGCAGCGAGGAGGACATGCGCAGCATGGCCGCCAGGAACAGGATCACGCAGGACATGCTGCAGCCCAAGGTCAGGAGGGCCTTCTCCGACGAGGAGGGGAGCTCCGAGGACCTGCTGGAGCTGTCGGACGTGGACAGCGAGTCCTCGGATGTCAGGTGAGCCTGGGGGGGGCGGGGGGGGGGGGGCGGGTCTGACCGCTCCCCAGGACCTGCTGGTCTGGGCCGCTGCTGAGGTGGGACGCTGTGGCCCAGGTGACTGTGGTGAGGCTTGCTCACAGCCCTGCCTCCTGCGACAGCCCCTTTTTTTTGTATATGTGGAATATTTATTATTTTGTTGCTTATCTGTATATTTTTTATAGTTTATTATGATATAACTAACATACCGCACTATGTAAGTTCAGGGTGGACAGCATAATGCTTTGGCTTAATTACTGTGAGAGGATCGCCACAGTAAGTGACACCCTTTTGTTTGCTGCGTCATCATCAAGTGCCTTGATTCACAGGCTGGGACAGACTCTGCAGAAGCGCACTCACTCTCTGTAGCTTGTCTAGTGATCATACGTCCTGCGCCGTAAGTTGCCGTATGTATCATCTGTTAGGATGCTATTGTAGAAAAGCCACAGTCACCTGGCAGAGGGTGCAATCCTAGGAGACTTTTTTTTTTTTTTTTCCGGTACGCAGGCCTCTCACTGCTATGGCCTCTCCCATTGCGGAGCACAGGCTCCGGACGCGCAGGCTCAGTGGCCATGGCTCACGGGCCCAGCCACTCCGCGGCGTGTGGGATCTTCCCGGACCGGGGCACGAACCCGTGTCCCCTGCATCGGCAGGCGGACTCTCAACCACTGCGCCACCAGGGAAGCCCTAGGAGACCTTATTTTATCTGCTGTAGAATGTTGGGGTTTTTTCATAAATTTATTTATTTTATTTATTTTTTGGCTGCGTTGGGTCTTCGTTGCTGCACCCAGGCATTCTCTAGTTGTGGCGAGCTGGGGCTACTCTTCGTTGCAGTATGCGGGTATCTCATTGAGGTGGCTTCTCTTGTTGCGGAGCCCAGGCTCTAGGCCCACGGGTTCAGTAGTTGTGGCTCACAGGCTCTAGAGCACAGGCTCAGTAGTTGTGGCGCACGGGCTCAGTAGTTGTGGCTTGAGGGCTGTAGAGCGCAGGCTCAGTAGTTGTGGCACATGGCCTCAGTAGTTGTGGCTTGCAGGCTCTAGAGCGCAGGCTTCAGTAGTTGTGGCACGCAGGCTCAGTAGTTGTGGCTTGCGGGCTCTAGAGCACAGGCTCAGTAGTTGTGGCGCACGGGCTTAGTTGCTCCATGGCATGTGGGATCTTCCCAGACCAGGGCTCGAACCCATGTCCCCTGCATTGGCAGGCGGATTCTTAACCACTGCGCCACCAGGGAAGCCCTCTGCTGTAGAATGTTGATGTTTCCTGACTTGGAAGTCCAGGGTATGAATTTTTGTGTTGAGGCCATAAAATTTAAAAAGACAAAACCGCTCCCCCCCTCCTCAGTTTATTATCTTTGTTTCTTTCCCCCAAACTTAGCACATAATGGTCAAGCAAAAAGAAAACCAAAAATCACTTTTGGTTTGTGTGAACATTTTATTACGTATTCATCTGGCCATACATATGTGTAGTCATACATACTTATCTTTTTACCATTTATTCTTTGTAATATTTTGAATTCCAAACAAAGCTGCAGTGCATGGCCTGCATTTACAGTTCAGTGCACATGTCCAGTCATTTCTTGGAGATAACTACATGGAAGTAGTATGCTCAGGTCAGGAGTCTCACTGAGGGGACGCCTTGCTGGACTTCTGGCATCTGTCATGAAATGCCTGTCAGAGAGTCCTGGTGTTGGTGCCCCACAGGGTATGCAGAGGGACAGCAGTGATCCCTGCGACACTCAGAGTAATGGGACAAACAGGTATCTTATTCCCATTTATATGTTTTTCTTACATATGAGGCTGAATGTCTTCAGTGTTTCTGCATTTTCTAGTCAGGTCTCGCCTATCCTTCCCATTGGTGGCAGGCTTGGGCAGGCGTCCTCTGACTGAGATGAGGGGAGAGTCCGTGCGTGCCTTTCCTGCAGATTCTGTTTTACCGTCTGCAGATTTGAAAGCTCAGCTGAAGTGCATACAGCTGGGTGAAAGCCCCTGCTGACAGCGGCATCCAGCCCTGGCGTGTTCTGCTCAGATTTTAACAAAAGGAAGGGTGTGCACTGGGCGGGCATCAAACCTGTGAGAGCGCGTCCTGCCCAGTGTGGGGACAGGGTGGCTTTGCCCCCAGGGATGGCTCAGTGGGGCGAGGGGCAGGGAGAAGACATCTCAGTACCCCAGGAGTGGCCGAGGGCTCTGGGAACGTGCGGGAAGGGGGGCTGGGAGGTGGCGGGGAGGAGAGCCTGGCGACTGCTGCTGTGCAGGATGTGCGCCGAGCCATCCTTCCCTTTTGCACACACTGGGTGCAGCACCTGGTGCAGAGCTGAGGTGCAGGCAGGACAAGGCCGGTGAGCGGGGATCTGGGTCTTGTCCCGTCACCAGGGCTGGGCCGTCGTTGCCACCACCCTTACACACGGCCAGAGCAGGTGTCTCCTCTTTCCTCCAAGCTCCGGGTTTTCTTCCCTTGCAGTCAGCCGTACATCGTGTGCAGACAGTGCCCCGAGTACCGCAGGCAGGCGGGGCGGCCCCTTCCCTGCCCAGGGCCCGGCAGTGAGCCAGGGGCACCGCAGGCCCCTGGGGATGCACCATCGACGTCCGCCAGCATCACGACAGGTGAGACAGCCACACCTTCCGTGCTGTCCCAACCATTGGGGAAGCGGGTGGCACTTCTGCTGGCTCCTCTCTGCTCGAATGGCTCGTTGCTTCTCATAACCTGTTTGGAGCTAAGAAACCAGATAATTAACTTCATTTGTGGGCCTCGCCTCCTGGACACACCCGGGGATTCAGTCCTGATTCTAACACTTACCCCCCACCCCGCCCAGCCCACTACCTCAGGGCAGTCGGCATCCCCCGTGGTGCTCACACCAAAGCCAAAAGGACCATCACACACAGGCCCCTCCAGTGAGGGACTGGCCTCTTTCCAGCAACAGGACATGATGTTACCAGAGCCGCCCTGAGCTATCTGTTCGATGCCCGTTTCAGTGGGCAGGTCCCCAGGTGCCATCAAGAAAGGGAAGGTGGACACGTGGACTGTGGTTTGTGGTCCTGCGTTGTAGGGCCTGGCCTCTCTGCCACCGTCAGCCTGAGCCTGTCAAGAGGCCACTGACCTAAGGATTGCGACCCAGAGCCACGTTCTTAACCATCTTCCACGATGCTGTGCCATGGCTCTTGGGGGCTTCCTTGTAGGCCCCTCAGGTAGGGGTGGCTGGGGCAGCGTGTGGAAGGCCCCACTGGGACAGTACTGCAGTGTGCACAGGCAGAGCCTCGTGTGGTGCGTGAGTGACGGGGGGCCGGGCCACGTGGACACAGCTCCTGGTCCAGGGTCAGCCAGCAGGGACTAGAGAAATCGCTTTACTGTTCTCTGGGCTGCCCTTCCTTTATGGGAAATGGTAAAAAACCTTCATGTGATCTTTGAAATCTTGCTACAACTACTGAACCAGGAGATAACTTTGGTCATTTTTCAATCTATTTAAACTTCTTAGTTTGAGCGGTAGACCGTCACTTGGCTGTAGGAAAATAGGCCTGAGTTCTGTCCGGGTTTTCTTGTAGGTCTGTGTCCTTGTGCATACCTTACAGCTGCCCCTCTAGGTGCGGTCTGAGCCGCTCTTGCTGCCCGTGTGCTGGCGGCACCAGCCTGAGCGTCCTATCTGTTCCACAGCCCAGGACTACGTGTGTGCCCTGCAAGGAAGCCACGCCATATGCACCTGCTGCTTCCAGCCCATGCCCGACCGGAGGGCGGAGCGCGAGCGGGACCCCCGCATCGCCCCCCAGCAGTGTGAGTGAGGGTGTGGGTGTGCGCCGTCTCCCCGGCGCCCCTCCCCACCTCGGAGCCGCTCCTGTGTGTCCTTCCAGCTCAGGTTTCAAGAGTGTCGTGGACTTCTCTGTGTGGTGTGAAGTAGGGGCGCAGCTCTGTTTCCACCTGCGTCGTCAGGTGTCTCTGCGGGACCACGTTGAATAATCTATCTTTTCCCACCAGTTGATAACCCCGCCCCCGTCATACACTAAGTTTACACACATGGGGTGCTCTCTTTCTGGATCTTGTATCTGACGTGTGTCCCCACAGTAGTTCTCCAATGTGTCATTTTATTCTATTCTATTCTATTCTATTCTGTTCACTGTGTGGCTTTCTGGACCTCAGATCCCTGACTAGGGATTGAACCCGGGTCCAAGGTGTCACTTTAAAGTCTAACAGATTAACTATATGGTGCTTTAATTTACAGTCTTTGGATCACTATGAAAATCGAGCTTGTCATTTATTTACCAGTCCCTTGAACCTTCTCCTCGCTGGATGGCGTGACCGGTGCTTGTGCTCTGTGTCCGCAGGTGCCATCTGCCTGCAGCCCTTCTGCCACCTGTACTGGGGCTGCGCCCGGACCGGCTGCCTCGGCTGCCTGGCCCCGTTCTGCGGTAATGCCGGCCCTGCCGTCGATCGCCGCCACCTTCCCCTGTTCTCTCGTGCACTTGAGGCCAGTGCTGGGCTGGCCGTGTGCCCGAGGAGGGAGAGGCCACGTTGGTCACCATGAGTTGGCCCCTTTCCCTGGTGGTCTGCGTAGGTTTGCGAGCGTCAGTGAGGGGGACGCTGAGTCATGCACAAGGACCACCCCCACTGAAAAATCGTATCCGGACTTCACGACCCCAGACCAGGGGCTGCACAGACTGGCTGTTTCTGGGGGGAGTGGAATGGAAGTCCTTTTACTTTTTCTCTGTTTGAAGTTGTATTTTGTCATGGAACTTTTTATTCTTTGTAGACTCCATAATGAAGGAAATTTGGTTATCTTAACTGTTGGGTGAACGGTGCTTTCGTAAAGTGTGTATGAAACAGGTAACACTGCTTCCCTCCGTCCTGACAGAACTCAACCTGGGCGACCGGTGTCTGGACGGGGTGCTGAGCAACAACAACTACGAGTCGGACGTCCTGAAGGTACAGGCGCGGCGAGGCCAGCGGGAGGCCTTCCAGGACCCACCAGTGACCTCATGACTCTGCACTTCTGACTAGTGCTGCCACTGTATCTGCTTGTCCCTATATTCCCCCCAAATAGGTGTTCCTTCACACCCGCCACACAGGAAGCCACAGGAATTGTGTCCCACAGTTCCAGCTCCTGCTCGGCCTGCGCGGAGTGGGGCAGGGCGCGGCCGGCCCTCGGGTGGAACCAGGACTGCCCCTCGCTCTCTTCCCACATTGCAGGGGGCAGCCGGCTTTTAGAACTTCAGTGCTTAACGTGCACATCAGTCCCTTGCCAGGAGCCTTGCCTTCACCTGGATCATGTGCGGCATCGGCCGCAGGGTGAATGGCAGGCACCTCAGCACGGCGGTACTCAGGCTAGATGTCCACAGGGCACTTTCTTGTAGGTTTGCACAGAAGGAGCCAAGCAGCTCCACGTGTCTTGAGGGCAGAGCACAGATCCAGACCCTGGCTTCCTTGTCATGTGGTCATGGGCCTGTTCTGCACTGTGGCCACTCTGGCCAAGGTTAGGTGTCTCGCTGCTCCTGTGCTAGGAATGTCTTTGCAGAATTTCAGAGAGAGTGTGGTACCTCTTACGCTCGAGGTTGTAAAGCTAGCCTGCCTTTTGAGACTCAGAAGAAGCACCTTGGACAAAAATCTTGTGCAGTAGTGTGTGGATGTGATACCACGTCTGTCCCAGGCCTCCTGGTCCGGGAGGCTACCTGGGCCGTCTGGGCTGTGGTCCTGGAAGCAGGCCCCCTAACTGCACGCAGTGCTCGCCCTCTGCAAGTGCCCACCACGTTTAGGTGCTTGGCTTTACCCACCTTCCAGGGCCTTTTATGAAATGTCAGTCCTTTTTGCCATTTTAGTGTTTCTTTCTCCAAGCTTGTGTTTCTTCTCTTGCCCGTTTCCCTGTTACAGAATTATCTGGCCACCAGGGGTTTGACGTGGAAAAACATGTTGACTGAGAGCCTTGGGGCTCTACAGAGGGGAGCGTTCCTGCTGTCTGGTAAGCCTCGTTGTGCCTGCTCTCCTGCACCGACAGTGGTGCTTTCCAGGGCAGCTCTGCCTCTGGTGAACCAGCCACATCCGCCAGGCCGCATGCTGGCAGTACTGCTTGTCGGCTTTCCCTCGCTCACACCTGCGACCTCCACCCACCCTGGCAGACACACACAAAGGTCCTGCTACTCTTGGGTTTCTTTTTTTATGTTGGGTTTGAGTCGACATGACATATTCTGGAACCTTTTCTCGCACAGGGGAGGGAAGGGGCACAGCTGGAGAGGTGTTGGCCCTACCGCTTGTCAGCGTTGACATCCTGGGGCTGGTTGTTCCCAAACCCTCGCGGTCCTTGGTGCCTGTCCCTCAGTGCGTGGGTGACTCAGTGAAGGCTCGCCCCCTCTCCCAGGGATACCCAGTGCATTGTGAAGTGTGAATTTTTGTCACTAAGGGAGGGTGCAGAAAAATCAGCAAGTGATTTTTTTTTTTCCTAAGACATGAATTATTATGAAAGACTTGAGAGGTTTGCTGGGAACCCTTCTAAGCTGTTTTTGGACACATTCTAGTGAATGTCTTGGGTTTTCTCTGCTGCGACGGCTCTGTGTGGTTGTGTCTTAAGTCCTTATGCTTTTTAATGGCTATTTTTATAAGAATGACGTGGTTCACAAAGAAAATGTAAGTGGTACAAGGAAGTCTGAAGGATAAAGTGAAAATCATTAGAAATCCCACCGCCTAAAAATATACCCAGTGATAATACTTTCACGATCACCCTTCTAAGTACACGTAGCCATGTGTGTGTATAATTTGTATGAATGAAATCCTATCAGATGTGCTTTTAATAAGCTATTCACTCACCAGTATATCTTGGACCCTTCCTATGTCACTGAAGATCTATACCGTGATTGTTAGTTAGCATCCTGATACCATCGTTCATGTAGCCAGTTCGTTAGCAAAGAATATCTCAGTTGTTTCCAGCTTTTCACTGTGTGAAACAATACTGAAGCTGCCAAGCATGCAGTCCTGTAGGTTTAACAGTTGTACCCTTAGGATAATAAACAGGGCTGCTGGAGGCACGGTTGAGGTGTGCCTGGGGCCTGAGGGCCAGCATCCCCTGAGCCCATCAGCTGCGTGTTTGCCTTCGAGGCCTTGTAAATATGAAAGAGGCAAATGGTGAGGTATCATTGTTTTATCTGCCATATTTGATTATTAATGAAATTGAAGATCTTTTTGTTTTACGGGCCATTTGCTTGTCTGTGTCCTTGGTCCATATTTATGTTAGGCTATTTGAACTTGGGAGGTATGGATTTGTGTGATATCTTTGTTAATTAAGGGTACAACACATTGTCATTTGTGCTGAAAATACGTTCTCTGCTATTTCATTAGTATTTCATTTTTGTTGTACGTGTTTCCATTGTGATATTTAAACTGTAGGCAGTCACATTTACAAATCCTTTCCTCTGTGCTGTTCGGTTTTCATGTTGTAGTTGGAAATAGCTCAAGAGAAGAACATTCATTCCTCTTAGTACTTTTCTAGATTTTTTTGAATATTTGAATTTTTAATCCAGGTGGAATTATTTTGCCGTAAGGAAGTAAGTTGGTATCTAGGTTGGTTTTGTTCTCGTGTTCCAAACGTCCAGCCCTTTGTCTCTGGCCAGTCTGTGGATCATGCACTGGTCCCCCAGCAGTTTGCAAGGCCGCGTCTATTTTGCCGCCGTGCTTGTAAGAGGCTGTGTTCCTTCTAGATTACAGAATCACCGGGAACACCGTGCTGTGCTACTGCTGTGGCCTGCGGAGCTTCCGCGAGCTGACCTACCAGTATCGGCAGAACATCCCTGCTTCTGAGCTGCCGGGTAAGGAGACCCCTGCCCCTACCCACACCTGGCCCACAGCTCAGTTCTCTTTGCATTGGCTCCTACTCTTCTTTGCAATAGCTAGATAGCCTGTGTGGGCCTTTGCTCTGTGTTCTTAGCGGACGTCTGCGTCGGCCAGGGACACGGGCGGGTCTCAGGGCCGTCCCTGCCTGGTGCCTGCTCAGGCTCTGGGTCTCTGAAGCAGGTTGCTAAAACAAGATGCCAAAAAAACGTCCTGTGGGCAACCGGAGTCATCTCATTTCTAACCTGGGTTTTCAGTTGAACCTTTTTTTCCATTCCTGGAGAACAGTGCAAGGAAACGAGCTGTGAAGTGTGACGAAGCGCTGTGCGTTTGAGCTGCAGTGTCTCTTTGGCCTTGGCTTAAATTCACTAGGCTGAGTCTGTGAGTGTGGTGTGTGTGTCACACGTGTTCACTTTTTTCTCTCCCTAGTGGCCGTAACGTCCCGTCCTGATTGCTACTGGGGCCGCAACTGCCGCACTCAGGTGAAGGCCCACCACGCAATGTGAGTGCGGCACGGGGGCGGGGGCCGGGCCGGGGCTGAAGGAGTCCCCTGCAGAGAGGCAAACCCACGCTTTCCCTACAGGAAGGTGCTCTTCTTTAAGCGTTTTGGCCAAGTTGATATCGCAGCTTTTAGGGATGTGCGTGAACTAGTCAGCTCTCTACTTATAAACTAATTTAGTTGTCATGCTTTTATAAAGTCAAATAGTATATATCAATAAAAAATTATCACTTAGACACTCTGCTTTTCTGTTATCTCATTTCATGAAACATTGGCATACAAACGTTCACCTCCCGTTCCACCTCTATGTGTCCAGCGCACAGGCGGCCATCCCCAGCCCGCACGTTCAAGGTTTAGCACTTTCCGAATCCGTGGCTGAGGTCACTGAGAACTCCCATCCCGAGCCACGCCACCGTGCACCTGGGTCTACCTTTGGTGCCGTGATGGCTCGCAGGCTCTAGCTGGGAGTGTCCCATGGGGTCTTTAGAGGCTGTTCACGTTGACGTGCACGCTGCCACGCACGGTGGCCCATGGGAGCAGGCTCGCCTACGCTTTCAAACCGTAAGGGAAGCAATCACATAAATGAGTCCTGAGGATGGATGCTGTGTGGGGCAACTGTAACCCCAAACAGCCCCTTGAGGCTCAAGCGGAAGTACTTGAGAGAGCGCCCCTGGCTTAGGAGTCATCATGAGGGCTCCGGAAAGGCGGCTGCCTCTGAGGGAGCGATTTGGCGGAATAAAAGGCTTGCTTTGTATGCGAGCATTAACTGTGTGGAAGAGACGATTTTATTCTAAGAAAAGAGATTTCAGCAGTAACAGGCTAACCTTTCTCAGTAAACATTTGGGTCAGGGCAGCAAAGATACAGTCGTCTTCTTGGAGAGGAGGTGGCGTCAGCCCCGCCAGGTCACCCGCAGTGCCTTGGGGATGCTTTGAGTCTCTGGGAATTACCTAAATGTTCCACTTACATTTTAAAATTTAAAAAAGGAGAAAAGAGGCTGCGTTTGGGGCTAGTTTCTTTGATGGTATGAGAGACAAGCCCTTGCGAACCCCCAAGCACAGGGTTGCTTCTCCTGTAGCTCCCCCAGGTGCAATTCAGAATTCCTTTGTTGAACGTGTCTCTGATGCCCTCTTGTGTATTTCACCGTTGTCTCCCTGCAGGAAATTCAATCACATCTGTGAACAGACAAGGTTCAAGAACTAAACATCCAGGGAGACAGCACAATGGCTTGGGAGTATTGCCGGTCAATGACAGTGTCTCAGAAAATACTGAATACAGACGCTTTAAGAGCATTTCACAGTGCCCCTCAGGGGACGCCGGGGGTCACTGCTTCGGGCACTCTGGTGCGACCTTTCTCTTGTGGAGTGAGACCCTCTCGGCGAGAACCCCTACCAGTGGCGCCCAGAGCCCTGGGCCAGAGCAGGAGCTGTCGGCCGTCCCCTCCTGTTGAAGACGACCACGAGGTTTGCTCTCTGTACCTTTCGCACAGCCACGGTCAAAGCAGACGTCTCTCTTCAAGAAAAGTGCCCTGGGAGAAGAAGGGGAATTTGTCAGAAATGCTGTGCTGTTTGAGGGAAGGGAACAAAGTTTCCAGCTGGGGCGCACACAGCGGCTGACCTGTGCACTTTCATAGGTTTGGTGCTCATCTCCTAATAAGGCTTAAATATCGCAAACTGTAGCACAAATGATATAACTTATAATTTACAAGTTGACTAAAATGGGAGATAGTATGATATTTGAAAGAATAAGCATATGTTTCTGTTTATAAAAGAAAAATCATCAGACGTCCAGGGACCCCAGCTCCAAGGGCATGATTGGGTCACTGCCACGCCGGGCTCCTCAGCACAACTGCAGCCCTGCCAACCTGTCCCGCCTTCTTCACTCCTCCCCTGCGGCCGGGGCCGGGGTGGCCCAGGGACCTGGGGTGCAGGTCGTCCCTGGTGGTGCCCCGGCCTGCCAGTAGCAGCTTCTTCCCACCGAGAGCTTCCACAAGTCCTTGCCCTTTCCGCCTGCTATGGGTTTGCCGTGTCATCTGGAATAATACTTGAAATTTTATTGTTTAAAAAAAAAAAGTTTTTTATCAGTTGTTGAAATCACCCGTTAACGTTTGTTTGCAAAATTGTACCTTTTTTGCTTCTTCTCAGGAATACGATTTTCAACTTTGTGTTGCTCTTGATACAGACTCTGAGAAGCAGCGCTCCGTGGAAGAAGGCCTCCTTCCTGCGTTCTAATAAACAAGCCGTGTCTGTTTCTCTCCCCGGCACGTTCGTTCGTGTGCTGGTTGTGATGTGCTCCCTCCTGTCACGGTGGGACCGGCTGCAGGCGTCACTGGTTACCTGCTGACTAACAAAGAGTCCACCCGGGGGCTCTACTTGGATTAGCCTCGCAGGCCCTGCAGGCGCGTGTGACCTGGGGTCAGGGCCCGGGTCTGAGCATTTGGGAAAAGGCACGGGTTCCCCTGGATCCGCCAACCCCGACTTGGTCCCAGGTTGAAGGCACGGCTTTGTGTCTAAGCCCCGGCCTGGCTCGTGTGGGCATGAAGCTGCCCTCCACGCTTAGGACCTTGACTCATTACCCCCTTCACTTCTGACCCTGACCCCTCCCTCAAACTAAGAACAGAGACGCAGGCCCCGTAGCAGATGTAGCAGCTTTCTTGGCCAAGGCTTAAACACGCAGCCTTACGTGGGCTACGCCGGATCCGTCAGCAAAGGGCAGGGCATGCACCGCATCAGACTGCTGGTCCACGGTGCCGGCCCGACTGCAGTGGAACTTGGATTCCCCACTTCTGACAAGCACACCGGGGTCAGAACGGAGCTTGTCAGCTCTGACCTGAGGCAGGAGCCCAGGCCGGGGTGGTGGTTCTCCAGGCTTGCTGACAAGCTGTTTTACAGGGCGCACCGTGCGGTGTTTCTGCGACTTTTCTCTACTTCCTGTTCCGTGACACACACACCCCCACCCCCTGCCGCATCCAGCCCACAGCGGGTTGGAGCCTGCTGTGTGCTCGTGTCCTGGTGGCTCAGCTCGTGCCCGATGACTCCCGTGTGCTTGTGGCCGGCTCCTTGGGCCCAGCCCGCGTCCTTGTACAGCCTTGCTCAGCCCATCCCCAGACTCGTGTCCCTCTTGGGCTCCTGGTGCCCCTGTCAGATGGGCTGGCCCTGCCTGCGCTTCCCATCTGCTGGGCATCCTCCAGGGGCTGCACACTTGCCCTTCCTGTCCTGTGGGTTCAAGCTCCCAGGCAACCACCTGGAGTCCTCTTCGGGCCAGCCTCTGTCAGCGCTCCTGGTGTGACCAAGGACCCAGCAGGTCATCTTAAATACCTCATAGCTAACAGGATTGGAATCACAGGCCCAGATCTGAGAGCCCCAGCATGACATCGGCGGATCTTGCCCCAGGGAAGTGCCCAAACAGAGAGAGTGGATTCTGAGCCAGGCCTCTATCAGTGGGGGCCCTGCAGCCAGACCAGTCTTCATGCAGCCAGCAGAGAAGACGCCCAGGAAAGCTGAGGTTCTGAATCAGGATTGCTGCTGCAGAGGGCACCAGCAGCCCAGCACCAAGCAGCTGACCTGTGCTCTGGAGGAAGGAAGAGAAAATGGGGGATGGATGGGGTTTGAAAGTCCAGAGTGAGCCTGACTTCCAGCGCGGCTGGATGCGAGACCCTTCTCTTCCTGTGTGTGGTGGCCTCTTCCCAGACCTCAGCTTTCCTCCAAGCTGACACAGGTGAACTGGTGGCCTCCCCACCAGTTTGAACAGAAGCCTGTCCCTGACCCCAAAGCTGATAAGCAGCCAGACCCAAGCCTCTCACCGCCTTCTAGCCTCCAGCACCCCGTAAGCAGGTGGGGCTGGGGGAAGGCAGGCTCCAGTGTCACCAGCAAAAAAGCAGACTGACTGCTGGGCCAGGCAGCCCGCTAGAGCTCAGCCCATCCCAGGCCTGATGCTGACGGGAACCGTGCTGCTGGGTCTCGGTTACTCCCCCTGGAAGTGCCGGCCTGCAGTGGCATTCGTAGCTCCCTGCAGAATTAAGTCCGAGGCCCTCAGCACACAGGGCTGCCACCCAGTTCGGCCTCTGGCTCTGTCTCCTCATTCCCACCCCTTCCCGGCCCCTCTGAGATGGAAGCCATGAAGTACGCACTGTGAGGGTGTTGAGGACCCCCCAGTCGAGCCGTCCAGCGCTCCCTTGGGTGTGCCACGTGCTGGTTCATTTCTCTGTTGCAAATGGACGTTCTTTCCATCCTGTCCCTCGGGACGCTGGCAAAGCAAATGCAGCAGAGATGAGCTGTGCGCGTGCCTTCCCACTCTCAGCCTCTGCCCTGGGCCCCAGTGGAGCTGGGAAGTTGGAGGGAGGCCCAGCCCCGCGGATCTGCCAGCTGAAAGTCCTGACCTGCAGAAGGACCTCGTGGCCAGCTCCCAGGGGACAACTGTCACCATCTCAGGAATGACTCCCACTGGTAACTGAAACACAGCCCTTCAGAAAATTGTATAAACTTGGAATTCTCAAGTTATGATTAAACAAAGGTAATAAGCACTCAGGACTCAGCCCTTCTTGATAAACGTGTGCATCTGGCTGTTTCCTCTGCTCCCGAGGGCATCTACGACTGTACCTGTAGGTTCTCTGCGGTGCTGCCTTTGATCGGTCTGTGGACCTCACTGTTGGTAGCTTGAAACTGGCCCCACTAGGAGTATCTACACCATGGAAATGGGTAATTGCTGCAAATCAGGGTCATTTTGTTGTTTTCTGGAGAGAAGGTTGTTAAAGGCAGCATGCCACTGCCCCCAACCAGTATAATCGTGAGAAGTAATAGTTGTTTGAAGCCACTGCGGTTTGGGTTGGCTTGTTACGTAGGAATGAATGGTGCTACCACGGCCCACAAAGGCCCAGCACTGGGTGGCCCCCTCCCCTCCCTCAGCAAACCTCCCCAGGGTCTTCCGCAGCTAGACCCAAACCTGGGCCCTCGCCCGGGCTGCCTGGCGATGTCTCCTCCCCACTCAGGGCTTGGCCCAGACCCGCTCCCTGGAGGGGCCTCCCAACCAGCCATTCTAGCATCAGGCTGTCTGGCTTTCTTCCTGGTGCCGACCATTGGAAAGGAAACGTTTCCTTACTGTTTTATCTCCCCTTCACAATTCAGAGCAGGACGCTTCCTGGCTTGCTTCGCTGGTGTAAACTTGGCTGAAGCGTCTGCTGACCGCTGGCAGTCGGGTGCTCACAAAGACCCTGCTTTGCACCCCTCTCCTGAGGCTCTTCTCCTCTCTGTTGAGCCTAGTGTGTTCTCTCATTTTGTTTTCTGTGTGTTTCCTTCTGGAGATGGTGATCCTGACCTGTGTCCTCATCTCTGGTTCTCCCCCACCCACACGGAGCAGCCTGGCAGGACGAGTGTGGGAAGCCATGTTGAGTGCTGACCCAACCGTACGTGCTGCTGTGGGCGGTGCTGCTCTCAGTAGCAGCTCTGTGTGCTGGTCCCTGGGGCCTGCATAACATGCACCACAGATGGGGAGGCTTAAACAACAGACATTTCCGGTCTCACAGTTCTGGAGATAGGTGTTGCAGGGCTGGTTCCCCCTGAGGCCTCTCTCCTGGGCGTGTAGATGGCTGTCTTCTCCCCGTGTCCCCATGTGGTAGTCCCTGTGTGTGTGTGCCCTGATCTCCTCCTCTTATAAGGACACCAGTCACATTGGGTTGGGGCCCACGCATATGGCCTCATTTTACCTCAGTCACCCACTTAGAGTCCCTATTTCTGCACACAGTCACATTCTGAGGTCCTCAGGGTTAGGGCTTCAACATGTGAATTTAGGGTGGCAGAGGCAGACACAGTTCAGCCCATAACACTTTGTCATCAGACATCAAACACCACAGGGTTTTATAAAGTCAGGTGGGTTTCCTTTAGGCAAACCCCACACCCTATATACTATTAACACCCCGTGGCAGGCTGAATAATGCCCTCTGCCCCTGTCTCCAAAGACATCCATGTCCTGACCCCTGGACCCTGTGAGTGTTACCTTATCTAGCAGAAGGGACTTTGCAAGTTAAGGACCTTAAGGTGAGACAACTCTGGATTGTTCTGTGGGTCCTCAGTGCAATTGCAAGGGAGGCAAGAAGGGCAGGCAAAAAAAGATGTGACAGAACCAGAGGCTGGAGTGACGGTTTGAAGGCAGAGGGAGAGCCGCAAGCCAAGATAGGCCATGGGAGCTGGAAGAGGCAAAGGAAACAGCTCCTCCCAGAGGTAGGGAAGGAGCAACCCCACGATTCTGGACGTCTGACCTCCAGAAGTGCGAGAGGGTGAGTCCGTGTTGTTTGGTGTGGCTTGTTATAGCGGCCATAGGAAGCTAAGACACACCCTCACCGTCTTCTTTGGTTTTCAGTCTTTAGGAAGGGTCCAGTGTTTTCCGAGGCTTTGCAGGAGGGGCTGGAGAATTCTCTCTCACCTGAGCCCCCGGCGACGCCTCAGCTAGTTGATCCGTTGCGGGACGGGGCTGAGCCTCTGCCCTGGCCAGCAGGGCCACAGTCTCAAGGTGCCCGCAACCCACGTCTACACTGCCTGAGCCACCTCTTCAAACACCAGGCAGATGTCACCCCTGCTTGAAAGGTGCCAGTGGCTTCCCACCACTCTGATGGACCCTGTGCGGCTTGCTGCCACCCCGCCTCATCTCGGACCCTTACTGCTCTGGACGTGCAATTCCTTCCCTTGTAAAGCTCCGGCACGCGCCGGCCTCCTCGTCACGCAAAGTCAGCTCAAATACGACTTCCTCAAAGAAAACACTGAAGTTTGGGATTAACATATACACACCAGTATATACAAAATAGGTAAACAACAAGGACCTACTGTACAGCACAGGGAACTGTATTCAATATCTTGTAATAACCTATAAGGGAAAAGAATCTGAAAAAGAGTGTATATATATATATATATATACATATATATATATAAAACTGAATCACTTTGCAGTACACCAGAAACTAACACAACATTGCAAATTAACTACACTTCAATTTTTTAAAAAATAAAGTTAAAAAACAGGGCTTCCCTGGTGGCGCAGTGATTGAGAGTCTGCCTGCCGATGCAGGGGACACGGGTTCGTGCCCCGGTCCGGGAAGATCCCACATGCTCTTCCCACATGCCGCGGAGCGGCTGGGCCCGTGACCCATGGCGGCTGAGCCTGCGCGTCCGGAGCCTGTGCTCCGCAACGGGAGAGGCCACAACAGTGAGAGGCCCGCATACCGCAAAAAAAAACAACAACAAAGAAAAACCCAAACCCGTGGCTCTCCTTGCT